TTAAATGGAGTCAGTTTATTTTCAAGAGAAGCGTATTGTACTTTATGTGAAGTGCAAGTGTATGTGTACACCACTGTTCAAAATGTTTTTGAAAGAAATCTATTACGCTGACCAAATCTGCATTTACTTGATCAAAAATACAATCAAATAAAAAAGAAACAGTGACAGTTAAAAAATGTCTTCTATTTGAATATATTTTAAACATTAAGTTTATTCCTGCAAACAGTTGTGCTGCTTAATATTTTTGTGCAAATTGTTGTTTTTTTCCATAGTCCTTTAAAAAATATAAAGTTCAAAAGAACAGAATTTGTAACATTATATTATATTTGTAATATTAATATATTTTGTAACATAATGAATGTCTTAACTGTCACTTTTGATCAAATTAATACATTCTTGCTTAATAAAAGTATTAATTTCTGTCAAAAATAGGAAAGACAATCTTGTCCTTTATACCACTGCCAGACTACCTGCCCACCTGCACTGACAAAAGATTACTTCAACACGCCAACAGCAGATATAGGCAGGAGAGAGAATGGTTAAGCAAATCCGTCCTTACCTTGACTGCCCCACTGTTCGCTTCGATGTAGATAACATCACCGACCTCCACTCTCTCCTTCTGCAGACTTTCATAGATACTAGGATCCAGCTGCATGAGCATAACAAATGCTATGAGATAAAACTTTTAACTTCAAACAGACACAAAATCAGCTTCCATTCAGCTCCTTATCTTTGAAATATAAGTATGGAAGTGAAAAAAGCGCTTTCACTTCCTTACCTTCAACTGTTTGGTGCCTTTTGCGGTCTTCAAACCGATAATGACATGACTGACAGTTTTGCCGTAGCCTCCCATTGGGTTCTCCGTCTCAGAAGGAGTCAGTTCAGTGACCTCTCCCTCATACACCTCTTTAGTCTCCTTGATACGCAGACCTGCACAATCAAAACAGAAGAATTTTAGGTACGAGAATGTACAGAAACCATAACTGCTAAGATATATAATATTAGCGGATCTACCAATACGCTTTTAAAAACCTACAGAATTCATTATAAATTAAATTCTAGTGAATCTATTCACCTGTGTGTTTTTTTCTGTATTTTTCTGTCAGCACTGTAATAATGTGTGCATGCATGCATGCATATCTCACTTGATCACACTGTCGACACTGTTTGAGTCATATTGGTGGTCTAATATCAGGCTACAGTGTGTGTGTGTGTGTGTGTGCATGGGGAGTTATTTACTATCTAGTAGAAGGACAAGTCCAAATGTATTAGAATATGTTTTTTCACGGTTTCTAATCACATTTTTACTTTTATTACTAAACATATCTCTTAAAAAATGAATAAACGTTCACAATCGTATAGCATTTTTACAGGTCATGGTGCACAGACATGGGTTCTTTGCGTGAGTGCTCACCGATTGCTCTTCTGAAGTTCTCCATCAGCACCTCAGTCTTCTTGATTTCTGTTGAATACACTTCACTGCCCACCATAGGACAGAATGGCACTTTATTTCCCAATTCCTGAGCCATGGCTAGTGCCAGAGCAGTCTGCAGGGTACAGAAATTCAATTATCAAACCATAAACACTTTCACAAAGGACATCTCTGAAACTATTTACAATAACTGATACAATAAAGCTTGTCGGTCCTTACCTTGCCTGTTCCAGGTGGTCCGGCCAGTAAAACGGCTCTGCCAGCCATCTTTTTTAAACGAATCAGCTCTACGATGATGCCACAAGCCTAATAAAAAAGGTAAGAATATAGGAAATGTTTATATTTACCATTTTCTTTAAATGCAACATGTTTTTTTCAGCAACATGATGTTCTTTATAAACGAATACTATAATAATATAAAGTGGCTAAACTACAGAAAATATTTAAATATTTAAAGTCTCCAAAACCAGGATCTGTGATAACCACAGTAATATAACGTACTCTTGGTGAATCCTGACACATATCTTTTATTAGATATTTTGTATTCGTTCTTCACAAACAATTAGGTAAATACAAATGGTCCTATAATATTCACTGTAATCATTCTGCATTTATTAACAAACTGGCAAAACATGAAATGGATCTCTACCTCTCTTGCTGTCTCCTGCCCCACTAGTCCTGACGCGGACTGTTTAGCATTCCCGGCCTCGTCCAGCCCGAGACCCTTTACATGGCTGTGAGAAGCGATGCGCTGCGTCTTTGTTGTGCTTTTTACCTCTTCGATCTTCATGTTTCTTGTTAGTTCATTAAACACTCTAAAAATGAGAAAAATAACCTCAAGCCTATTACACGAAAGGCCGTTGAAATCAAACACAAGAGACCCGCGTTTCCATGTGGGTAACCAAGGCGATTTGAGGAAGTACCGCCCTGGAAACGTTTTTTAGTCGTTCTTTGCAACGATTGGTCAATTTGTGGAATCTCTGTTTAATCATTGGATATCGGTGTTGTCCGTCTGATCATTGTGAATACGCCCATATTTTCCGTTTGTGTGCCATTTAAAGTGTTGTACTGGAACAAAGACGACCGCTGTGGGTTCCACAAACATTTTCTTCCGTATGAAGTGTAAATATACTTCCAATTGTGCTGTAAATAATTTAAATATTTTTACTTGTTAATAAATTATTTGACCCATGAAGCATGTTTCTTTTCTGAAACAAATGCTGTGAAGAGGAACCCATGAGATGAGTTGTTGTTATATCAGGGATTGTTTTGTTGCAGCACAGGAAGAACAACTGTCAAATTTCAGAAACGTTTGCTGAATACAGTAAGAGCAGAAATATTTAGCATGTAATTTAATCTCTCATATCAAAACGAATAAGCGCATATTACTGAATTCCACCCAAATAAGAGACACTTGGTTAACTGACAGTTTAATATTGAGCTTGTTGGTTTGAACCAGCAGCGTTGTTGCTGTCAGCAATTCAAAGTCTGCGCATATATTCTGTTACCCAACAGTCGTGCTGCTCCAGTGATGGCAGATCTCAGTCCTCCTAAAACTCTGAACTTTAACGTCGGTGTCCTCGGCCATGTGGACAGCGGGAAAACGTCTCTCGCCCGTGCGCTGAGCAGCACCGCATCCACCGCAGCCTTCGACAAGAACCCGCAGTCCAAGGAACGAGGCATCACGCTGGATCTCGGCTTTAGTGCGTTTACGGTGCCGTTACCGGAGCACCTGAAAGAGTCCTGCGGGGAAAGACAATACGACAGTCTGCAGTTCACACTGGTGGACTGCCCGGGACATGCCTCTCTCATACGCACTATTATTGGGGGTAAGTCGGTAAATTAGTTGTTTTTTATTAGTAGGTTTGATTAAATCCACTGTGGCAAACTGTGGTGCTTGCGTGAATCAATGTATATATTTCATATAATTCACTACGCACTAGTAACATCTTTTAATTCCAATTATGAGTGTTATAATAAACTAGTTCAAGAATAGCAACCTGTCAGTGCATTTTAAACTGTCAAGCATTACCACTTTTGATCAGTAGGTGGTGTGTGTGTGTAGTATTTGAAGAGGTCATATTAACCCTGTAAAGACTGACGTATGATAAAAGTTGAACATTTATACAAAATATAAAAGAAAATCTTACAAATGTGCATATGTGCTTTATGTTTGTATCATATTTGATACATCAGGTTTTTATCTATTATATGTCTCATATAGTATAAAATGAATATGGAGAATATGTGACCCTGGACCACAAAACCAGCCTTAAGTGTCAATTTTTTTAAATTGAGTAAATAAGCTTTCCATTGATGTATGGTTTGTTAGAATAGGACAATATTTGGCCGAGATACAACTATTTGAAAATCTGGGACCCGAGGGTGCAAAAAAAATCTAAATATTGAGAAAATCGCCTTTAAAGTTGTCCAGATGAAGTCCTTAGCAATGCATGTTACTAATCAAAAATGAAGTTTTGATATATTTATAGTAGGAAAGTTACAAAATATCTTCATGGAACTGAAGATATTTTTACTTAATATCCTAATGATTTTTGGCATAAAAGAAAAATGGATAATTTTGACCCATACAATGTATTTTTGGCTATTGCTACAAATATACCCGTGCAACTTAAGACTGGTTTTGTGATCCAGGGTCACATATGGTGCACACACTCAAAGATGAAAAAACACATCAGTTTTATTCAGGCCCAAACTGAGCAAATATATGCAGTTTGATGCAGATGTTGTTATTTATGTGGCCAAAAAGTAAGATGAAATTCTGATATAATGCAAATTAATTATATTTTTATTACAGTAGGCTATAACAGATCGCTCACTTAAAATGCATATAAATACATCTCTCAATAGTATGTCTTTAGTAAGATGATATTGTACGCTTTGTTTTATGATCAAAGCTCGGTAGTCTTAATTGTGGGGGCAAAACATAAAATGTAATGCAATACAATGATGATTAAGATGCGTTAGTTCCTCAAAAAAATATATTTTTCTAAACAATGATGCATGGATAATTAAGTAATCCTACATTTCAGTTCAGTAAATGTTAATATTAATATAAATATTGAATATTAATAACAATCTAAAAGTTATTCTTATATTCTCTTTATAGAAATCATTAAAGATAAAAGACACATGGCAAAAAGACGTGTAAAAGAAAACTTGAAATCGCATCATATGACCCCTTTAACTTAATAGGTAGTTATTATGGGCACAATAGGCTACATGCAATACATCGATATTCCTCTATACTAAAAGCTCAGATGGCTTGTTTTCTTGCATACACAGTCTCATAGGTATTATTTTCATGGAGGGATGTATGAAGAAATAGATGATGAGAAACCATGTCTAGAGGGTTTTTGTTAACATTCAGGACCAAACAAACCCACAGAACACTCAGTGTAGTGGGAATGTCTAGTGTAATTGCATTGATGGCATTGGTGTGTGTGTGTGTGCATTTATGGCACATGTGGTTGATTAAGGCGGAAAGGGGCTGTTCGGGGTTCCAGCTTGACTTCCTCTCTCCCCCCAGAGGGGATCTCAGGAAAGAATGAGTGCCAGAGAGAGGAAGAGAAAAAGAGGGAAAGGAAAGGCAATAGCCCAGTCTCCTACTTCTCTTATTCTCTGTCTCTTTTTCTGTAATACTGTCTAGCAGTGATGACTGTACTTTGACATGTTTGTCATTGTTGAAGCTGTATGTTTTACTCTCATCTGTATACTTGCATTCAGGTGCTCAGATCATTGATCTGATGATGTTGGTGGTTGACGTTGTGAAAGGTATGCAGACACAAACAGCAGAGTGCCTTTTGATTGGTCAGCTCACCTGCTCCCATATGATCGTCATCCTCAACAAAACAGACCTGTTGCCTAATGACAAGAGACAGGCGGCTATTGACAAAATGACCAAGAGGATGCACAAAACTCTTGAGAACACAAGGTAGACACTGTAAAGCACGTTTACCTGTATATTATACATATTACACATTTTGCCATGTGTTCAGACTGTAAAAAATGATTGTAATTTTAATGCTAAAAGACTACAAATGCTACGGTAAAACCCGTTAACTGGTTAACCAGGAGGTATATGGTGAAAAACTGCAATAAATCTAATGCGACATCTCAATACTGTTAAATTTACAGTTTTTGGAAGTGAAAAAGAACAAGTCATCTTATAATTTACAGTGGAAAAAATGTCAATTGCTACCTTTTTTAAACTTAAGTTCTCGCAGCAGCTGCTGTTTTTTTTTTAAAGTAAATTTCACAGATTTGTTTTACAGTGTGAGCGTATATAACTAATCTAAACTGCTTAATTGTTTATACTGTCGCAAAATGTAACCTATGTCACATAAGATGTTATAAACATTACCATCATGAGTTTCTATAAAAATGCTTTGAAACAATGTTTATTGTGCTATACAAAAGAAATTGACTTGACTCTTTGCTTGTCAGATTTAAAGGCTGCCCTATTATTGCTGTGGCAGCAAAGCCAGGTGGTCCTGAGGCCCCAGAAACAGACGAGCCACAAGGAATAACTGAACTCATAGATGTGAGTTAGTGGGTGTGCTGTCAGTAGCACAGAATCAAGGTTCAAAAATCTGAGACCACTTTTAAATTGTATATTTTTATAAATATGGAAACGAGCATAACATTTTAGGACTTTGAAAATGCCTAAATAAAGAACAGTTATGATGTCAAAGAAGTAATATATGTAGGACACTAAATCAAATTTAGGCAAATTTGTGACATTGACCATACAATGTGTCCTGGCCAAATTGCCCCCCTGCCCTTTGTCAATCATGGCCTCCTAATAATCCCCATCCACTTGATTGGCTCTATGACTTTCTCTCCTCTCCACCTGTAGCTGGTGTGTGGTGAGCGCACTGGCGCCGTTGTCCTGTGGCTGCCGTCGCATCATCCAAGTGGATGCTGCACACTGGTGGTGGTTGAGGAGAGACCCCCCCACATGATTGTAAAGTGCTTTGGGTGTACAACAATACACAATAAAGTGCTAATATAAATGCATCATTCAATCATTCATTCATACAAAAGATCATTCCAAAAGATTTCCTTCTTTTCATTAATACATACAATGGAGGATTATTAAATCCTGGGTAATGTAGATCAGGTTTTGCACATAAACTTGTGGAGTGTATACTAGCTTAAGTGAATGTTGTCATTAAAGCAAAAGGGTAGTTTTAGGTCTAACATTTTTGGACATTACTGTATTTTGAAAGGTGTGGATCATGTTTTAAAGGTGTCTCTCTTTGTGTTCAGTTATTGAAGGCCCAAGCCTTCTTTCCTCGTAGAGATCCATCAGGTTCTCTTCTGATGGCTGTAGATCACTGCTTCTCCATCCGTGGCCAAGGAACAGTCATTACCGGCACCATCCTACAAGGGTCACTCAGTGTCAGTGATAATGTAGAGATACCAGCATTAAAGGTACTTGCATATATCTACATAGCACTACAATATATACACTACTGTTCAAAAGCTAAGGGTGAGTAAGATTTTTTTTTTAAGGAAATGTACTTTTGCATTGCATTGAATTGATCAAAGGTGACAGTAAATATACGTTTATAATGTTAGAAAAGATTTCCATTTCAAATAAATGCTGTTCTTTTGAACTTACTATTCATAATACCACCATTTACACAAAAATGGGCAAATAGTGGCACAACTCTTTTCAATATTGATAATAATAACAAATGTGTCTTGAGTGCCAAATCAGCATATTAAAAATGATTTCGGGAAGGATCATGTGACACTGAAGACTGGAGTAATGACTGAAAATTCAGCTTTGCCATCACTGGAATACATAACATTTCAAAATATATTACAATAGAAAACAGTTATTTTACATTGTAATAATATTTCACAACACTACTGTTTTACCATATTCTTAATTAAATAAATACAGCCTAAGAGATGTCTTTAAAAAAACGTAAATATCTCACAGTCCCTAAACTTTTGAACATGACTGTATATACACATGCAAACTGCACAAAATGCATTAAGAAAGACTGTTTCCAAATGATCAGTTTCACCATAATAGTTGAACAAATATATGGCGACATTGTGTACTGACATGATCAGCTCCTTACATGATCTTTTTTGATTCCTCAGGTGACTCGCAAGGTCAAATCTGTGCAGATATTTCGTAAGCCAGTTCCTAGTGCTATGCAAGGGGATCGGGTCGGCGTGTGTGTGACACAGTTTGATCCAAAACTGTTAGAACGGGGTGTAGTATGCACACCAGGCTCATTGCTGACTCTTTATGCTGCTGTTATATCCGTCCAAAAGATTGAATACTATCGCGGAGCACTTACCAGCCATGCAAAGTTTCACATCACTGTTGGACATGAAACTGTTATGGCACGTATTTCATTTTTCAATCGAGTGCTTCTTGCCAGTGAAGATGGAGACTGTAACCCCACCTCTCCAGAGCAAAATGCAAAATCTTTCTCATTTGATTGGGAGTTTCACCACTTAGATGAGTATTTGACATGTCAGGCAGAAGATGGGAGAGGGGAACCACAGCAAAGGGCTTTACTTGAGTTTGAACGACCGGTCACATGTCCACCACTTTGCTTAGTGATTGGGTCACGACTGGACTCTGATATCCATGGTAACGCATGCAGGCTTGCCTTTCATGGAAAGCTTCTGGAAGGCTTTGAGGACAAAAACTACATAGAGACAGCACTGCCTCGGCTCAAAATCAGCAAAGACAAGCAGAAAGAAGGAGCAGTGGAACGGGTGACTATAAATATTTACACTTCCATTCAAAAGTTTGGGGTCAGGAAGATATTTTTAAAATTAATATTCATTCAGCAAGAATTAAATTGATTAAAAGTCACAGAGAGGACATCTTTTATAATGCTACAAAAGATTTCTATTACAAATAAATGCTTTTCATTTTTTACTTTCTAGTCATCGGATAATCCAGAAAAATGTTTTATGGGTTCCACAAAAATATTAGGCAGCACAACTATTTTGAGCACTGATGATAATAAAAGTTTCTTGAGCTCCAAATCAGCATATTAGAATGATTTCAGAAGGATCATGTGACACTGGAGACTGGAGTAATTTAGCTTTGTTATCACAATAATAAAATACATTTTAAAATGTATAAAAAAAAATTATTTTTTTATTTATTTATTTTTAGTTTTTACTGTTTTTTAATCAAATAAATGCAGCCTTGGTGAACATAAGAAATTTATTTTAAATAAACAAATAAAAATGAATATAAGAAAAAATCTTACCAAGCTCAAACTTTTTGAATTTGCATTATAATATTCATAATATACATGACCAATTTTGTTTATCTTTTGTCAGGTGATAGATGACTACACTGTGATTGGTCGAAACCTGTTTAAGAAGGAGACAAACCTTCAGCTGTTTGTGGGTTTAAAAGTTACGCTGTCAACAGGAGAAACGGGATCAATTGAAGGTGGCTTCGGCCAAAGTGGCAAAATCAAAATCAGAATACCAGGTAAGCAAAGACAAATCCACTCTCTTTTACTCTCCTTTACTTTTTCTTGGCCCCTTTTTACCTCCTTCCTCTAAGTTTCTTGTCAGGTGACTTCCATATTCCATACATCCGTACACTCATTCATTCATTCAAAGACAGCATATAAAAGTTACTCTCATATAAAGTTACACACACCAAAAATGCACGCTGTATCTTAAATATACGTGCAAAAGAAAAGAAAAACTCACATCCTTTTCCTGACCCTTAAGGCTCTCTTGTGTAGGTAGACCTCAGCCACACAAATACACACACACACACACACACACACACACACACACACACACACACACACACATTACAGCACACCCCTCTATTCAGGCCCAATGAAATGGAGTAGAACAAATGTAATCATAGCCACACAACTAAAGATGTTTAGCAATTTTTAGTATACGATAGTTCAAATTATTGTCTAGATTGAGAAAAAGACTGTCAGTCTAGATTTTAAATAGTTTTGCCATGAAATTTTGATTAATTCAGCAGTTAGTTTCTGTTTAAAACACAAATGATCATATGATAATTGTATCCGGCCAAAACATGAGAGATACATTCTGTCTTGTAACATTGTATGTGCATTGTCCATAAATGCCTGTTCTTTATTTCTCTTCTGTTAGAGGGGCTGAAAGAAGAAACCAAGCAGCTTCTATCCTCTTCCTCTAAGAAGAAGGGGAAGGGTGGGGCCAAAAATGAATCCTCCAAATCGGAGGAAACTAAGCCCGACGCTCAGCAAGTCACCATACATTTGAACTTCAAACGCTATATATATGATCCCCAAAAAAAGATGGTACAGTCCTGACCATCAGTCCAATCATTACTAATAAATGCTGACAGGAAAGGGACAGAAATAACACACACTGAGCATATACTACTAAAGTCTGGGATATGGAACAGAAATGTCTTGTACTTGTTTTCTTGTGTGCAGAGTTTCTATTCTGTTACTTTGCATTTGTATTATTCCTTCAGATGTGGAATAATAAAAATCAACAAAAAAGAAAAGATCATTCCTTTACATTCTGTTATATGACTGCTAGTAAAACAACTCTATTAGCTAAACTGCTGTAGTTGCAGTGCACTGTATTTTGTGATTTACATTTTGTTTGCAAGAGTGTGAAAAAGTGTTTGTATCTTTGAGTTTGCCGTATCAAGAGTGGTTGGGACGTTGCTTTAGGGCAAAACACATTGTGAGTATAGGCAAATATTTCTGTTGGCAAATCATGGGCAAAATGTGTTTCCACACACCCCACCGTCAGTTACTCTACATTTATAAATATACTTTTTTCCATATTTTTGTTCCACTGTTTATGTATGTATGTATGTTTGTTTGTTTTTTGTGCAGATGCAGATGAGAGTGGTTAAAAAACAAAAACAAATAACCTTAATAAGGGCCACAGTAGGTCTTATCATTGTTCATTGATTTGCTTCAAAGATTTGAATATCTATTCCAGTTACGTTGTGGCAACTTCGGGGAATCTGTAGGCAAATTCTTTCTTAATATGCGAGTATACAAATAGCACCTGTACTAAAATATTAAATGCCATCTGTGTTGTTATACTTCCTGTTTGTACCTGACACCACAGGTAAAAACAAAGCCTTTATTTGTTTTTCATTATAATTGCCATTAACTGGACTTTTTTTTAAGAAGTGCATACATAGGTAACTGTCTATCACTCATTCGCTTACGCACTTTCTTTGACTAGCAAATGTGCTGTCATGGACTAATTTACAGCATCACAGTACTCTAAAAGGAAGATGTGTTGAGCTAACTGACATTAAAGTTTTTTTTATGTTTGTATGGAACCTTTGACTACTCAGCTTTGACTTAACCTCATAAGGAATCTCTAAATGTGTAGTGTTGCACAGAATAAAGAAAATAATACAGGTCTCGAACAACATGAGAGAGAGTAAATGATTGAATTTAGAATTTTCATTTTTACTGACCCCAAACTTTTGAACGGAGATATATGCCGTAAAAATTGCTTGATGCAGTCTGCTGACTGATTGACCACTCATTTCTCCTTTGTACGGCTCAGAAGTTCATTGTATGTGTGTGTTTTACTGTGTATTAATATTAATTAAGCAATTTACTCTGATTAATTACAGCAGGAAAGAGACGGAACACTCAGTTTAATGCTGCAGGCATAAGAACTCTGTGAGTCTAACACAACATGGCTTTCATGCCATGTTCGGCCTGCTCAGTGTTTGTGACATTGACTCAAGATCTTTAAACACAACACACACACACAGTCTTTTACTGTCCTTTTCCTTTCAGTGACTCAGATAGGAATCTCAGTCTTTTATTTTGTGTGTGAGTGCATGCATGTAAAAGCCTTTGATATGACAGCTTGAATCTGTTAACCTCTCTAATCAGGGTCCTTCATCAGAAAGGTCTTTCAGAGTGCCTGTTTAAAATTCATAAATTGAAAAAGACGGACTGAAAAAGGGAACAGAGAAAAAAGGAAATAAAAACAAACTCTCCCATGAGGTAGAAGCTGCAGATTGTCTCCTTCCTGACCCTGGACCTGCACTGATCTTGAGATGAGCCCAAAGAGGTATAAAGTCACGCTCGGTGTTTGACTTGCCACTAACATTAACATTATCGGCTTCATCTGCACGGGCAGTTGGCATTCGTGTGTGTATACGTTTTTAATTATTTTCTTTAAACTCACAGTCCTTACAGAGTTTTTTCTGTCCCTCCTAAAGCGCGCTCTTTCGTGTCCATGTGGACACTGCAGTACCTCTGGCTCACATGTAGAGAGCATTAGTATCCCCAGAGTCAGTCCAGTCGTAGTCATTCTTTATTTTTGTAACGTTTTTTCTTTTTAAATAAATAAAAAACGAAACTACCTCCATGTTACTCCGGTAAGTTACTCGTTCCACATTCAGTATTTGTGCGACGGACAGTGCATCTGGATACCACAAATGGTGAATCGTAGCCTATTGAAGTGAGCTGTTACTTTTCTACGTTTTCTAACGTTAGTGTTACCAGAGATTAACCATTTATACTTAAAAACAGTAAGTAGCCAATTTAAAACAGTAAGTAACCAACTAGCTACCACCTAGTAACGCCCTAGAAACCCAGAACACCACAGCAACAGGTCAGTAATCATGTTTTGTGCGGACAAGCAACTCACGTTTTGTTCAGAAAATGAACAAATTCGCAAGTGTTGTCTTCATATTGCCCAACTGTTACCTGACCAGTCATTATATTACATGTTATATTAAGTTAAATATAACATTTACAATATTATAAATGCATAAAGTTTTGTGTTAGGGTTAGGTGTGGATTATATTGTAGCCTAGTAGTAGGATGATTTAGACTATTTTCCCAGTCATCTCAATCCCAGAATTGTCCTAATTTACCTGAATTCACCCTATTGTAAATTATTCATATTTCATATAAATATATTATTTGCTTGAATTTGGTTGGCTAGGGTAAACGTACCTATTAAGCTCACGTACTCATTAAGCACACTTCCATATTTGAGCTCAGATTATAAAAAGACAAAATAAATGTATTATCATACTTGATGTCTTAAAGGGTTAGTTCACCCAAAAATGAAAATTATGTCATTAATTACTCACCCTCATGTTGTTTCAAACCCGTAAGACCTTCGTTCATCTTTGGAACAAAAATTAAGATATTTAATTTGCAACGCAACTGAAATGTTCCCAAGTCCAGAAACGTAGCAAGGAGATCTGTAAAATAATCCACGTGACATCAGGGATTCATCCGCAATTATACGAAGCATTAGAGAATACTTTTTGGTGCGCAAAAAAAAAAAAACTTTATTCAACAATTCGTCTCCACCGCATCACCCTGGTGCCATTTCGGAGAATATCCGCTGGACGTAAACAACGTATGCTGTTCTGTGTCAGCTGCGTCACGCCGGATCTGTTTCCTACGTTGTTGTGATTTGATCTGAACGGAAACAGCGTATCCATGTGACGCAGATATTCTCCAAAATGGCACCAGGGTGATGTGGAGGAGATGAATAGTTGAATAAAGTCGTTATTTTTGTTTTCTTTGTGCACAAAAAGTATTCTCTGATGCTTCGTATAATTGAGGTTGAACCACTGATGTCACGTGGATTATTTTACAGATCTCCTTGCTACGTTTCTGGACTTGGGAACATTTCAGTTGCGTTGCTGTCTATGCAGGGTCAGACAGCTCTCAGATTCCATCAAAAATATCTTAATTTGTGTTCCGAAGATAAACGAAGGTCTTACGGGTTTGAAACGACATGAGGGTGAGTAATTAATGACTGAATTTTCATTTTTGGGTGAACTAATCCTTTAACCAATTGATGTGTTAGTTACTACATACCTCCGGTAATTTCAAATCAATCAGATCATTGCACACTAAGATATGGGTCTCTGTGTGTTCACACTGTCTGGTGGCCATTTTGAAAGCTGTCTGAAAACTTTGACCAAAAGAGGAGCCCTTTAAATGTGCATTTTTTTTTAGACGTTTTAGCCTTTATTTTGGGTAAGTTTCAGTACTTACTGTAAAATTAAGAGATTAATGTTTAGACTTTTGCATATTATAACCTGGAACTTGGATGTAGGAAATAATTACAGTTAGATCCAAAAGATAGATTTGGCAACATAGCGCAGATGCTACAGAACACAGTTAGCTGACTAGCTGTATAAGATTGTGTGCTACGCTAATATATTACTTCACAGGCATTACTGGCTTGTACTTTTACATCCATAATATTATAAATTGACAGTTTATTGCTGGTCTGTGGTTTTACACTGCTGTAAGTTTTAAAGATTTCATATTATTTTAAGGTGAGCTTAAAGGGTACACTACTAAATCACACAGCTTCAGTGTGACATCAATAAGAAAAACCATAATTTCATAGATATTGTTAATAATAGTTGTTCATAATAAAATATGTATGAACTTAATACATGACCTAGATTATTTATTTTGCAATTTGAATGAATATTACATGAAATGTATTAAAAATTGTTGCTGCTCCAATTAAGCTCAGTGTGCTCTCTTTAAGCTCTTCCACATTGAACGTCTATGTAAATACTTCATAAACAGACTTTAAATATTAACTGATGGTCGTCACTTTAAGTTGATCTTAATAAAATGATTAATATCTTATTTTAACAGCTTTAAGATGACACAATCGAGACATAACTATAGTTTATGCCCAAAGATGAAAGAGGCAT